TAGTCAGGGTTGTTAAATAATGAATTAAAAGACACTATGAATCATAAATACAATTGATTTATGAATTAAACTATTTTAATTCACGAATTAATTTTGATTTAAAATCATTTTAATTCACGAATCAATTTTGATTCGTGAATTAAACTTGATTTAAATAAAATTTCAGGTCTCCAGTTTCTATGAGTTGTTCATGCTACAGGTATGAAAAATAGCCAAGAGTAAACTTCTCATGTACATTATAGCTCTTTAACCCATTAACGACCAAAATGCTCGATTTTTTTGTTTTATATGAAGATAAGTTGTTTTTTGTTTGAAGTAGTGGTTCAAAAACTCCATAAAAATTCCCTGAGATACTTTGATAGTCGTGATCACCCCTGATCATATTTATATCGTGATTCCCTAACGGTAACATGGTGAAAAAAAATCAAAAACTTGATTTTTTGTAAAAAATTTTACGTTTTTTTTCGTATAAGTAGCCATAACTTTTTTATTACGCAAATAATCGAAATTTTGAGCTCAGTTTCTGAAAGGGCATTAAATTTTACATCGAAATAGGTCCATACGAAACTCTTTGGAGGCCTCAAACTACAAAAAAAATCGCTGTGAGAACCAACAAAAAAATCAAGCAGTTTGGTCGTTAAAGGGTTAAGCTTTTCAGGCTCCAGGAGATTAAAATAAATCAGAGTGGACTTCTCCAGGTTATTGTGGTTCTGTTGGGTTTCTCGGCCTCCGGGTAAGTTATTGAGGTACATAATGGTATTCTCCAGGGAGTTTGAATCCTTTTGAGCTTCTCCAGGTTTCGAATTCTCAAAGTATTTTTATATTTTCCTGTTTATGTAAGAATTTTTTACGCACTTAGAAAATTTAGTTATTTTCATATTAAAGGTTTCGTAATCAACATTTAAATTATTCTTGGAATAAAAATTATTCTTCTCTCAAATATTTAATTTTTATTGTCTCATTGATCCTTTATAATTTAGTTATAAATAAAAAAATAACATCAAACTTATTGATTCTTCATTAGTCAAAAGGACTATATATTTACTCTATCAAGGAGACCTTTTCAACCTCGGGTCACAGATCTATCCCAAAATTTTTTTTTGGTTTCCTGGTACCTAATCATGAAGCTTAGCATGCATAGTTGGGCCTTAGGGCCCTTAAGATTAATCTAAGCATACTGAGCTTCATAATTAGGTAGCAGGAAAGCAAAAAACATTTTTAGGAAAGTTCTGTGATCCAAAGGAGGAAGGTCTCTTTGTAAATTTGAAAACAAATACAATTTCATCAATAATAAAGAATTATAGATTCTTAATACTTTTACAAGAGAGCAAAATAATACATAGATTTTTCATACTTATTTCTTATTATTCATTTTTTGCTGTTTGCCTTTAAAAATATCCTTTTTTTGGATTCCGTATCATCTAATCGATTGAACTTCGGTAAGTTCAAGAGAGTGGCATATGTAAATAGCCGCTCTACTGGAGCAGACGATAGTAGAGGGGTAATATATTTTAAAATGAAGCTTTTGAATAAATTCATTTCCTTTCACCTGAAACAAATATGTTATTTTTTATGTTACTACCGTAGGCGAATCAAATTTTATCTATAATTGAGACACTTTGATTCTAAACTTATCTTTAGATATAAATGTGCGAGAATCATATGTAATATGGGTGTCATTATTCGAAAATAAAAAATGGAGTACACGAAAAAGGCTCGAGCTTGACGAGCCGAGCTTTTTCATTAGGAATGAATAGAGTTTCAAATTTTTTTATACTCACATTTAATAAGCCTAGCGGTCCTTCTGAATCATCAAAATCGAAAAATTCATCATCGTTACAATTAGTGCCCGATGTTTCTTGAACTATATTTAAATTAGTTTTAATTTTGTCAATCAATCTTTGTTGAGACTCCTCATCCAGCGATGTAATAAGTAAAATTTAAAATTTTGGATGCATTAACACGTCAATGGCAGCAAACTCTCCACTTCCTTCTTTATTCATAATGGGCCAAAAACGAGTTTCTAAATTATTAAATAATAATTTCAACACGGGACCAAATATTTGTAGTGTGTCAAGCATTTTTATCCACCTTTTCCTTGAAATTAATAAAATAGGCAACAAAATACCATATTGGTAATTTTGTTCTGCCTGTAATTTATCAATTGACTTGGCTAGAGGGTCAACCCAAATTAAATAGTCCTATATCAACGCAAAATCATTCTTTGACAATCCTTTAGAATCAGTTACTATATTTTTTATCGCAGGATCCATGAAGGTAGTTCCCTCATGACACTCGGAATCAAAAGTTTGATCGTGAAGCCGCTGTACCCGCATTCTTCCGCGCAGTCCCGTAACAAAATTTTTGGTATACTGTACACTCACACACGTTCACTCGCATGTATGTACACGCACGCACACATGTGCAAATACGCAGCGATAGACTTGGCAACAGCGCGCGCATGCCGAGCTCAGTGTAACAAACTGAACACACGAGCAACGAATGTGTTGTCGTGAATCTTAGCACGAATTTGTTTATAAATTAAAATTCTACCTAGTTAAGTGAAGTTTATGTTTTTAAGTGCGTGAACTGATGAATGGTAAACGTCTACGAATGCCAAATGGTCGGTTCGGCGGAAAAAAACAAGTTAATAAAGAAAAATCGCTGAAAGCGATGCAAGAAGGAAGAAGAAGATCTCTCGCATTGAAGTCATCAAATGAATCAGATCCTGCTCCTTCGTGCTCTACTTTACAAGGCTGTCGAATAATCGACATGGAAGAGATTATAAAAAATCTAAGATGCAAGAGATGCAAGGACAAATTGCATCTCGAAGATACAATAAAGGAAATACGTTCTGGGCTGGCAAGCGTTTTTGTCATAATCTGTTCCAAGTGTGAGTTCGAAAATACGGTTCCAACAAGCCCATTGCAGAAGAACCAAAAAGCAATTTGTACTCAAGATGTGAATGTTGCTGCAGTATTAGGTAATTTTATTATAACCTCTTTACTGAATACTTTTTCTTGACTAAAAAAATTTTTTTTTCTAAACAATTATTCAAAGTGGAGTAAAAGAATCACATTATTACATTATTAACAAAATTTACTTAGTTTGTTAAATTTATTTAGTTTTTGACGTAGGTTTCAGTATATACTGAACAATCATCTCCTAGTTTTTGAAAAGATTTAATCGATGCATTTTTTTACAATTTAAGAATCACATTATTTACAAAATTTCATTGATTGTCACAGGTACCATTCATTCTGGAATTGGACACACTAAGCTCTCTAAATTGTTGGCTTGCCTGAACGTTCCTGCCATGAGCGACCGTATTTTCAAAATATGTGAAGAACAGGTTGGACAAGCCATTGAAAAAACTGCACATGAAAGCTGTATTCTAGCTGCAGAAGAAGAGAGACAATTGCTTATTGAAAATGTTGAGAAGATTTGTGAATATTTGTAAGATCAAGTTTTAGATAAAAGATATTTTTTTTATTGCTTAAATTATAAATTGTATATAAATGAAGTATGAAGCACAGTACTAAATAAGAAAGTTATAAATGCTAAATAGAATGATGGAACTAGTGCTTGATTTAAAATGTGCTTCACCACCAATTCAATTGTATATAATTATGCTAAATCAATTCAGTGATTTGTGTATTCATAATTTAAGAAATTAAATGAATCTTCATTCTTCAATTTATAATATTCACCCAATAATTTTGAATAAATCTTAATAAAACAACAACATTCACAATACATTATTGTATAATTGATTTATTCGTTGAAGAATAGAATTGAATTTTTTTGTTTTTAATAATTCTATGCAGGCCTGAAGAGATTGCAGCTGATGTTTATGGCAACCTTCGAATGCTTCGTTCTTCCACAGAAAATTCTACTTCATCAACAGATTGCAACAATAACTCCAATGCTTTTAATGAAGCTGTTGGAAATATTATAAACATTATCGTTTCATTCGACATGGGATGGAGTAAGCGAGGAAACGGCCGTAGCTATGATAGCCTGAATGGATATGCGACAATAATTGGTTATCTCAGTGGCAAAATAATTGATTTCAAGACCTACAACAGAACGTGCTATTCATGTGACAAGGGCCATGATCAATCTGATCACAATTGTAGAAAAAACTACGTGGGTAGCGCTAAATCAATGGAAGCCGCAGCTGGAGATCATATGATCAATAATAGGAATATTTTGAAAGAAGTTGGCTTGAATGCAAGAGTAGTTATTGGAGATGAAGACAGCTCCAGCATTGCCAAAATACGTAAAAATAATAACAAGACTATTTATAAACTGGTTGATACAAACCACAGAGTAAAAAATCATTCCAAAGAATTGTATGAACTTGCTAAAACTCACAAAGAATTAAACAGGAAAGGAGTGATTAAACATTTGAAGAAATGTCTTTCCTACGCTGTTAGTCAGAACAGAGGTCAAACTGCAAAGCTGGCAAAGATAATATTAAGCATCCCTGATCATGTGTTTGGCCAACACGAAAATTGCGGCGAATGGTGCAAAAAAGACAGTAAAAAGCATACTATTGAGTTGAAAAGCGAAGAATTATATAACGCTTTAAAATCTTTCTATACAAAGTATTCAATAAATGCATATAAGTTTGCTGTGCCAGCATCAAGTCAGGCTAATGAAAGCGTCAACAACATCATCGCTCAGAAAGCGCCAAAATCGATTTGTTACAGTAGGAGTGCATCAGCAGATTATCGTGTGGCTAATGCAGTTTGCACAAAAAATGATGGCGAAATGAGTTTACTAAGTATTAAAAAAAATTTAGATCTTTCATCAAATTTATATACATCAAAATATGTATCAGAGACTGATAATAAAAGATACGCTCGAGCTGCTACAGAGAAGACTCAGGAGTACAAAACTCGCAGAATTGAATTGACACGAAACCGAGAGAACTTACGAAAACTACAAGAAAAAAATCCGAAGGAATAACATATGCTTCCAACTGTGCAATGGACATGCCTCAGCCTTTTCAAGAACCTCAGGAATCGACTCCTTCATGTAATCCTAAAAATATTATTGAATCAAATTTTGTTGTTGTTTACTTTGATATAGAAACAACTTCATTAGCATTAACAGCTGGTATTCTACAGATTGCAGCAAAGTCTCATGACCTTGAATTCAGCGTCTATTTAAATCCAACTCAAGCTATCTCACCAGATGCATCAAAGATTACAGGCTTGACAATTGTTGGAGATGATTTATATTTACACAATACACGACTCGATAACACACTTGATTTGTATGATGCTTTCATTGCCTTCGCAGAATTTCTTTATAAAATGGAAAAACCTGTACTACTCGTTGCTCACAATGCTACATTTGATACCCAGAGAATACTAAGAGCTATCATTGAAAATAGTTTGAGCTCTTACTTTGATATGATAATTGGATTCGTCGATACCATTCCTATTTTAAAAAAATCTTTTCCTGAAAGAAAAGGTCCCAAAGCATTCAAGTTGGCTAGCTTAGCAAACGATTTATTAGGAACAAATACAGAGGATGGTTTCCATGAAGCTCTGTTCGACGTTGTTATATTAGAAAAGTTAGTTTTGCATATTAATAAACAAGATGAACTTATAAAGTATTTGAAACCATATGACAAATGTTATCGAAAGCAATCAGAATATGATTTCATTCAAAATAATATGAAATATCTAGAAAGTCTAAGACAAGTTGTTTCAAGAGAATTACAAGTAAGAATGGTACGAGCTGGTTTCTCGCGCAGTTTTTTACTAAAAAAATTAAAAGAAGAAGGAGAAAAATATGTATTAGATCTGTTATCAGAAAAAATGGCAGATGGCAAACCAAAAATTACCAAAAATAACAAGGCTTTAACCAAAATAATGAATGATTTAAAAAAGTAAATTATTGTTCCAAAATAGTTTTTAATAGTTTTAACGCTTTTAAATAATTTTACGTGTTTCATGAATTAGCTTAGATATAGTAACATGTTCTATGATGTTCAAACTAAATATATAATATTCATAGTTTAGTTATAGTAACATGTTCTGTGATGTTCAAACTGAAAATATAATATTCATAATGAAAAAACATTACATAAGACTGTGTATGAAACGCGTTTGTATAAAATAGTTTTGTAACACAGACATTTTATGTAATTTTCAAAACTACAGCTGTTATATTACTAATTAAAACAGATTGTTTAATTTAATGAGTTAATAAAAATGTTTTATGAACCTTTCAAATGAAAAATGTGTACATTGTTTTATTCCATGTTTTATTTTGAAAAATGTGTACATTGTTTTATTTCATTGTTAAAATGAAAAATATTACATAATTTCAATGCTTTTCTTATAATTATTAAGAGAGAATATTAAACAATTAAAATATGGAATATTAATTAACATATCAGACGTCAACTTTCAACACACTGCTAGTAGGAGCATAGTGATTGCAGTCGTTCAAATTGTTGCGCGCATATTCTTAGCGGGCGACGCGTTGCGACGTTGCCAAGTGTAATCTCGTTCTCTCTCGCCGAGCTTAGCTAGCTTAAAATGACCATAAAATTGACAACTTTCAATCAACTTTTCTCAAAAACTGTATGGTTAAACTTTTTCAGTTTTAGACGTAGGTTTCAGTACATACTGATCAATCATCTTCTAGTTTTTGAAAAGATTTAATCGATGCATTTTTTTACAATCGCGCAAAATAGCGTCTTTTCGACACGTTAGCATAGGGATCCCATGTTAAAGTATCGAACTTTGATTGATTATATTTCGGAAACGGCTTGGTCAAAGTTCTTGAAATTCCTCACACATATGAAAAGCACCGTCAACAATATGTGGTTAAAATTTCAAGACCCTTTATCGATAGTCGTTTTTTTGAGGGAACTACCTTAATTTATCTTTTAAATCTTCAATTTGTTTTAGAGCATCGAATAAAGAGTTCCATCTGGTTATTACGGGTCGGTTGAGACTACACTCAATGTGTTCTCGTAAATCTTCATATTTTTTAGGCGATCGATGGATTTTCCAAATAGCTTCTCATTTTTTCATAACGGCTTTATATTTTTTTTCAATTTTTTTGTTGATTCTTTTTTGTCGATATCGCTTTCATAGTATCAGTTGTCGCAATAAGGTTCAATGTGTGGCTTGCACAGCGAAAATGATTTGGTAGACAATATATGGGCAATATCACGTCAAGTGTCCCCTCTTCAAAAAACTGTTTTCAAAACAGAAATGTACTTCAAAAGAGTACATTGAAAAATGATGATTTACCAAATTTTAGCCCTCCAGGTCTATTTGACTTACAAGGAGACCACCCCAACTCCGGGTCATGGATCTGGCCCAAACTCATAGAGGGTACTTTAGGCACCTAGAAAACATGCCCAGTAGGTTTAGTTTGATCTCATAGGCCCCTGGAAGAAGTATAATGCACATGCTACATTTAAATATTAATTATATGTAAAAAACCCCCTTCTATCATCACTTAATGTCTTCATGCATATGAAATCAAGTTCAAGCTCCCTCAATATACTTGAACTAACTCTCTCTCATGTCCTAAACACATTGAAAAAGATTCACTAATCCAGCTTTAGTTATTAACTGTCAAAATCTGACAAAAGCGATCAAATTAGAGCCAAAACAGGCGCCAATATGCACTTACGTCTACAATATAATTAAAAATATTTGTAAAATACAAACTCTTGTTGTTGATCCTTCTTCACCATCTCTTAACACTCAATTAGAGTAATTTTATTTAATCTTGAGTGATAGTGTGGCTTCATGATGATAGCACACCATATCAACAAGCATTGTCGCTCAAGAATAGAGAAATTGTTTATTACAGTGATTTCTTGGCGCCAATGCTTGTTGATATGGAGTGGTATCATCATGAAGCCACACTATCACTCAAGATTAAATAAAATTACTCTAATTGAGTGTCAAATTTTACAAATTTTTTTAATTATATTGTAGACGCAAGTGCATATTGGCGCCTGTTTTGGCTCTAATTTGATCGCTTTTGTCAGATTTTGACAGTTAATAACTAACTTTTTCAATGTGTTCAGGACATGAAAGAGAGTTAGTTCAAGTATATTGAGGGAGCTTGAACTTGATTTCATATGCATGAAGACATTAAGTAATGATAGAAGGGGGTTTTTTTACATATAATTAATTTTTAAATGTAGCATGTGCATTATACTTCTTCCAGGGGCCTATGAGATCAAACTAAACCTACTGGGCATGTTTTCTAGGTGCCTAAAGTACCCTCTATGAGTTTGGGCCAGATCCATGACCCGGAGTTGGGGTGGTCTCCTTGTTAGATCTTTAGCGTCTCAAAGTCAAAAATAAAAAAAGTAAATATTTTCATATAAGCTTATGGTTGCCCTGGAAAAATTATTGGAAATAGGTTTTTGATGTATTTTTTTGTCAGGATTTCAAAAATGTAAGCTAAGATACTGAAAAACTACAAGAAACTCATAAAAATTAAAAAAAAAGGGTATTTAGCAAAAAATAAGTATGTTCGTATCCATCGATTTGGCTAATATCCAAGTGTAGTAGTCGATCAAGCGATCAAGCTGTCTATTATTCGATTAGATTAATCGGACCCGGTCGGGTGCGATTCTGGTCAATCACAACTATATATTAGACTGTCCGTTATTTCCCGAATTGATCCAATCTTCGCTCTCACCCCTTGAAAGCTCATCATTTGGCTCACAATGAAAGAAAATCACTGTCCGACCGCGATTTATTAACTCTAGATAGTGCCACACGCGTCAGCTTTTTTCCCATTTAAATAACATGGGGAAATTTAGAAAAAATGTAAATTGAAGTTTTAAACCACTTAAAATCGCTAAACCTTGGGATTAGTACCAGTTTTCACTTACTGGTACACCCATAATGAGTAACCAATACTTACAGGAACCCTCCGAAAAGAATTTTGAATTGTGCACACACAATATACTCAAAAAATGATGAAAACCAGCATATAAGCGTTGTTTTTCGATATTTTAAAACAAAACTGAGCGTAGACGATTATCTTAGATATGTTAACGTCAAAGGAGAGATCAAGACCTTCAATTTGAGGGTAATAAAACCTATCTACGTTCATTAGAAATAAAGTTACAGGCGTTTGAAGTTTCATTGAAAAATCAGGTATCGAATCTCGTCCGGCCGCCCATACGCGCGACTCGCGACTCGCTGTTATCGCAACTCGTACAAATGACAATGTAATTAAACTAGAAAAATAATCAAAAATATTGTTTTTATGCGTTCTTTTCTCATCTTTCACGTGGTGTAGTCAGATTTTTCGATGATTTACACGTTCACTAGGAAAAATAGGAAATAAATGTTCAAGTCCATTTTTTCGTACGAAAATGAAAATTATCAAAAAATCCGACTACACCACGTGAAAGCTGAGAAAAAAACGCATAAAAACCATATTTTTGATGATTTTTCTAGTTTAATTACATTGTCATTTGTAAGAGTTGCGATTTCAGCGAGTTGCGAGTCGCGCGTTTGGGCGGCCGGACGAGATTCGATACCTGATTTTTCAATGAAACTTCAAACGCCTGTAACTTTATTTCTAATGAACGTAGATAGGTTTTATTACCCTTAAATTGAAGGTCTTTATCTCTACTTTGACGTTAACATATCTAACATAATCGTCTACGCTCAGTTTTGTTGTAAAATATCGAAAAACAACGCTTATATGCTGTTTTTCATCATTTTTTGAGTATATCGTGTGTGCACAATTCAAAATTCTTTTCGGAGGGTTCCCGTAAGTATTGGTTACTCATTATGGGTGTACCAGGAAGTGAAAACTGGTTCTTATCTCAAGGTTTAGCGATTTTATGTGGTTTAAAACTTCAATTTTCATTTTTCTAAATTTCTCCATGTTATTTAAATGGGAAAAAAGCTGACGCGTGTGGCACTATCTAGAGTTAATTAATCGCGGTCGGACAGTGATTTTCTTTCATTGTGAGCCAAATGATGAACTTTCAAGGGGTGAGAGCGAGGATTGGAGCAATTCGGGAAAAAACGGACAGTCTACTATATATACTCTCTCAGCGGATCGAACCGTGATTTTTACGTTACGCGTTCTTGTAATTAAGCAACTTGGTTATCCCGTGGACGCTGCAGCTTTGGTCTGGCCCGAATAGTAGTGGATCCACAGCAGAAGGTGGTGGTGGAGGGTGGAGTGTTTACACTCCTCCTGGCGGTGAGCGAGGACGAGCGGTTAGTCTGCCTGGCCTGCCCTGCGTGCCGTGGATACTCCGGTAATTCGAAGATGGAAAATCTTCTACGGCATCACAAGGAATGCCATGCTGATGCTGCGGTCGTCTTTCAGTGCTGGGGATGCGGTTATACCGCACCCCCTGATAAGCGTTACCCCTCGTAGAGAGGTAACGAAGCACTGTGGCGACTGCCTGCCGGAGTTCCATGGCGTGCGTGCGGGTCTGGCGAACGCTGCTCGACGAGCTGGGATTCGTGGGGAGCTTTGGGGTGATCTATCGCTGGCTGAGCGACATAACAACGGTCGCAGGGCTGCTGCTGAGCGTGCTCGCACGCTATCTCCAGCACCAGCCCAGAGCGGAGTAGTTAGCCTTGTGCCAGACCGTGACGCGGTCGCGTCGCCGCGGCGCGGGGTTGTATCTCCGCCAGCGTACGGGGGCTGGCCCCCAGTGCAATAGCCGGTGATGGTGAGTCCCCGGAGCTTACTAGCATTTCCTAGCTCTTCCTCGGGAACGGGCAGGGAGCCCGATCCACCGCCTTCCCCCCCTTCCCCTGATGCCCCTATACCCGACCCGACTTGTCCCGCCCGGCTGCTCTCAGCGGCCGAGGACCCTGTCAGTCAACCAGCGGTGAGGCGGCGAGCGAATCCGGAGGGTGCCCGGCGACCG